AAAAAAAAAAAAAACACGATTAGGGAGTGCTACTATGCTATGCTGTAATGTGCCCCTAACATTTTGACGATCCTAAGCCCCTTCCAGGTATAACCACGACCTTTCTTGAAAAGCAAAAGCCATTTCGATAGTATATAAAGGGAGGAAAGGCAAGTCAAATTATGAGAACAGGAACGCGTGAGCTAGTCGCTGAACGCTCTCCTGCATCAAGACAACTGGGGACGACTCGGTCACAAGGAATCAAAACACCGTTGTCAAACATTGTTTATTCCACAACCAGTTTCATTTCGATTTTCCGTTTTCAGGGAAGGTTCAACAACCACTTTCACTTCTAAGAATATGTTCTCAAGATTGTATTCTACTACTAAGAATGTACGTTGTACACGTAGCGGAATATGCACAACACTGGAACAAAACGTAAATAACTAAAACTATGATAAAATGGTAAATACGAGGAGCGACTGGTTTAAGACCAAGGGAAATTAGTTTTGATGAAGAGGTATCCGTACCACTTAAAATGAAGACTAAAACTCTCTTGGCCTTACGGTTACCAATAGCCGCCATAATGCTGCAGGGGTATTTTGCAGAAAGCCGAATGCACTGTTTTCACACATGTTTTGCTTGCGGTTAGCTTTAAATTGTTGGAAAGGACGAAATACAATATGCTGTCCTTTCCAACAACAACAACGAAAAGCAGGTGACTGTAAGCGAACACGAGTGAAACTAACCGTAAGCAAACAGTCCAAACAGTGTACTCGGCGTTCTGCAAAGTACCCCTCCCGGCCACAATGGTTTTCACATGACAATGTAAATTAGCCCTGCGGTCAACCAGGGACAAACCAGGGGTTTCATTAATATTTTCAGCAACAGGGCAACTGGTTTTCACCTGCGGGCAAAACGTTTTGAATTGAACTTCTTTACAAGAAAACCTTTCCTCTCCATGGTCAAACCAGGCAACCAAAATCACCCTCACAGCCGGTCAATTTGGCCGGTACCCGGCCCTTAATGAAACCAATGACAAACACTGGGACTCCGTCAATTCCGCGCAGACTAACAGTCATCATCCGATTGTCGGACAATAGAAAGCTATTTTTGACCTTTTATTATTAGTTTTGGAGTTTCTATAGTCTGACTACTCTGAATTTGTTGTTTTCACAAAAGATCAAAGCGAATTCTATTCAAGTGTTATATTTTAGAAACTGAAACCCATGTTTTTGTAGTCGTTTGCCCCTGCAGAAATGGCATGGTTTATCTGGCAGGCATTAGTTCTACGATCTGAACCATCATGGCGGCAACCTGTTGACTGGGCCGGTGGTCTAGATGTGTGACTTTCTTGCGGTCGTCATGGTTTCTCTCTCACAAGTATTGGTAAGTTGCCTATGTAGTTACCAGGTCAGCTCAAGAACATGCAGTGAAGATACCAGGCCAGCTTAAGAACTCTCGGCCAACATTCTCATGGCTTGGATTCGGATGCAAGTTGGAGATGAGAGATGGCTTCCCGCAACAATCCTGGTCACGTGAGCTTCAAGATTATTGCAATGTTCATTAAAGTTGATCCACAGACAATCGTCAGAAGCCAAGCCAGCTCGCGCCCTTGTCATACGGTGGTACGCCTGCACCAAATGTGACAAGATCAACAAATATTGTTCGCATTTCTCAGCAGGAACATGATTTGTGGAGTGTCGCCCTTTTCTTCCTAACACAGCCTGGTATGATTCCTCAGATGGGCGGAGGGCTGTAACTTCGTTGCCCTTTTCTCTGAACTGTAATTCCATGGCCCGTAGGAATTCTTTTGTTTCTTTATTTTCTGCCAAATCGATCGGTTTTTCTCCGCGATCGTTTTCTGCTTCTAGTAAAGGTAAACCTGTCACAGATAAAACGAACATTCAGTACAAGACCAGTGGGTTTTTTATGTTTCTTCAGACAGCATAGCCTGCGTATCAAGCATTCTCCTTTCGAAAACGCGTACGTTTCCTGCATTTAACATTGCGGCAACATATTTTATACTCTCGCACTAATTTTCGCGCGCCCAAAATCTGGGTAACTTTTTCGTTTAATTCCGCACGGGAATTCTTACTAGAGGGTCTCAATGGGATTTAACCGTCAACCGTAAAAGCCACTACCCCATTGGGACCCTCTGCTACACTGGCTACAAACGGCCAAAAGAATATAAGCAGCTGAGCATCAAAACTAACCTCCTGCTCTGACCAGCAGCTCGACTACTTGATAATGATTGTTGCCCACTGCATCATGTAAAGGAGTTGTTCCACACAGAGGAGCAGACAGCACGTTCAGCACCTGAGTGGTGTCTATTATCACAAAACAAGATTAAACAAGGCTTAGCCTGATACACGGTCATCTGAATTAAACAAACATATTGAGAGTTTTAGCGGACGTTTTATTGGCAGGTTAAATTTCATAAGCAGTTGAGTGGAAGCTCAATAGGGAAACACCAATCCTCGTGAAGACACTTCTCCGCGCGGATTTCAGTGTTGGGTAAGCCTGAGAACGACTTGTAACAGCATTGAACAGAAAGTATCATCACTCAGAAATGAGGTGCGTCTACGTCATCAAATGAAGGGCTAGTGGGGTGGGGTGGGGGAGAGGACTGCTGAGGCTTAACCGCAACACTGAGTAAGGAACAGTCAATACTGGTATTTAATGCGATTCACAACTGCGGAGTCCGAAGGTTTCACATGGTCAGCATCCTTTTAAAGCTTTCACTGCCAGATTAGTCTGTTGCTTAAGTCTCTAGATGAAATCTTCGTTTGTGACTTAAATTGAACACTCTTTGGAAGATAAATGGTTTTGAGGTGTTAGCAACACATACCATCTCCAGGTTTTATTTCATAGACAAGCTGCCTTGCTTTCAGTAACTCCTGAACACAGCCTGTGTAGCCATGATTACAAGCCTCATGCAGCGGGGTCCATCCAGCATTGTCCTTCATGTTAGCGTCGGCACCTGACGCTAACAGCTGTTTGACCTTCACAGCATCATTCTTGATGCAGCTTAATTGAAGATTGGTTTCGCCTGGCGAGAAATAACACGACAAAGCAGTAAAGGAATAAAGATAACCTGTTTAAAACACTTAAGTACTTAGTTGAAGAAATTTTCAGCCAAGCACGAGGACCGTATTGCCTTGTGGGTCTTGGCAGTACGCACAGAGAAGTTCTTCCTGCATGGCCTTCATTAAATCCTTTTTTCCGAGTCAAATCCGAGCTCGAATCAAGTGCCCGATATGTAACGCTCAGATGGATTTCCAGCAATAGAGTCAAAATTAAATCTCTACTCCAGTACTACGTGGCACAACTTTGTATTGGCAAATGTCAATCCGGAGGTCCTGGGTTCCAATTACGCCGAGATCGAAGATTTTTTCTTTTCCTCGTGTTTGCCCTATTTCCTTCCAGGGCTACCGCTCAGAGGGAAATAACTGAGTTATTTTCTAGCACTTTAAATTGTCTCAAATGAAGAGAAAATGAGCATGGTCTCTTGCTCAAATGTAATTCTATACTTTCCATCTAAGTAACAATAACTCGCGTTGACCAAAACAGCACTCACTGGGAACTGGTTAGCTCTTGAATAATTATGAATGTACCGTTATGTGGGATACGTTATAATCGTTACGTTATGTATACTTATACACGATACGTTATTTATAACGTGACTCATACACTTTACTTGGACTCGGACCTGACTGTGACCCCAATTTTTCTCAGACACGGATTTTGCTCGGCCAACAAATAAACTCCTACCTCCCGAGTATACGAAGAATATTTTGGACCAGCAATAAAAGACTGATTGACCGATATTATCTACTTGTCCTCTCACTTTTCTAGTCGTGTAACATTAAGCAACCAAACTGTAATTCTGAATGCATCGTTCTTGATTTTTTCTGCCGCTGCCGGCTCAGTTACTTGAGATTTGGGTTGCACAGTGGAAGCGACATGTTTTCCGACATTCGTGATGGAGTAACCGTAAGGTTTAAACCATTACAAAAAGGAAAAGCGCATGGTGTACCTTTCATATTTCGGCGATGGATCTGTCTTCTTTGTCGGTTGACGTTCCTAAAAACAGGTTGCAAACAAAATTGACTACCAATAACAAACTGATACTCTTAACAGAGTTACCGAGTGCGGGATAACAAGTCTTACTCCCACAGGTTATTTTTAGTTATGAATATTAGGTCATTTGCTTAAAATGTGCTGCTAGCCTCGTTTAGACAGAATATGCCATGTGCCTGTTTCAACACGAGTCTTCATGCAAAACCTTTCATATGAACATGAGTTTGATTTACATGAAAATGAACATGTAGGCGGAACACAATATATATATGTCCATATGAATGGTTTCGCGCGAAGACTCGCTTTGGCACAGAGGCAAAAGGCAACTCGGAAGTGACCCACTCCATTCAAACTTTTGTCAGACCAAACTGTACTCTTGTCCACAAAGCGACCTGCGAAAGCCGCGCGCGGAGCGACAAAAATATTGGCGACGCTCAAAACCCGTCCGCGGAAAACTCGATGAGCTGAGGAGGAGCTACAACCGAGAAGGACTGTTTGCGACTGACATGAGATTGGCTACTTTGAAGTAAATTAAGATCAAACCACTGCGCTAGGCCAAAATTATTCAAAAGGAGAATTTTTTCGCTTAAATGAACGTTCATACAATGAATCATGCAACTATCCATGACTATTCACAAAGAAATATTTATTCATGTTCACCATTAGAAGGAGCGTGAAGACTTTTCCAATTGTTTTCTCGGAACATACTTTAGGCTAATGGGTGTCTTCAACGAGTAAGAACTTAAGGGTAATTTGCGTGATTTTCTTGCACTTTGGACAGCCCAGTCTGGAGCCCTACATCACCAAGAAAATCCTCGGAGAATTCTTAGAGTCCTGAGACGTTAACGATTACTGCGATTCTTGTGTGTTTACTCAGTAATTTATTTCATTATTTACAAAATCTAGTACAGCCTCTTAGCACTACCCCCAGCCCCTCCTCAGTCCCGACATGGTTTTCAGTGCTTTTAATAGCGACTTTCTAGAAAAAATTCCGATTAGCAACATATAGCTGAACACTTTTACACTGGACACACTTCTGAACTGAGATTCACGGTAACTGTTCAGAGAATGACAAAGGCAGTATTTAAATGTCAAAATGTTTGATAAATGGCTGATCTTATAGATTTGTACACAGGTCGAGCTGCGAAAGCCGAGTTTGAATGAGAAACATGTCAGCCTAGAAGGACTTGAGAAAGTTACTGATCATATGACATTGCACGTCACTAATACTACCCTGGTCAACAATTAAACAAATTTACAATACTAGCATTATTAATTTTTGATACAATTATTGCATGCCAGCCTAGTCCCAAACATATTAGATGAAACCAAATTGTTAATTTCAGTAATTTTTACAATTAATGCTCATTGTTTTGGGGCTAGTCCCATTAGAATCGTTTCCTCAGAACACGGATGAAGGTCAGGTGTTGTTGAGCGGGGTCTGTCTCGGTGCACAATCCTGTTCTTCGAACAGAACACTGTACCAGCTCCCTGGTCTCTTGACGGCGATGCTGCTCCAGTTGATCCATGTCTGCAACTCGTCTGCCAGCTGTGTTTTTTATTCGATCACCTCTCGCTCTCTGCTTCTGCTGTTGTTTGGTAGTGCTTTGATGATTTTCAAGGTTCTGTTTGTTCTCTCTTGGGTTTTGTTGTGCGGACGCCAATGGCGGTTTCAAATGTCTGCCACTCGTTCCCTTCTTCCGTGTGGTTTTCCTTAGTGTTGTTCCAGGAACTGCCAACGTAGGAAGTGCTCCGGCCTTCTGCTTCTGTTTGATAGTGCCTTGATGCTTTTCGGTGCACTGTTTACTCTCGCTTGGTTCGTGTCGTGCCAACACTGTTTCCGGTTGAAGGTGTCTTACATTCGTCTCGTTCTGTGGTATGGTTGTGCTAGTCCCGGGAACTGCCAGCGAGGTGTGTGCTAAGCACGGCCTGTAGATCATGGTGTCACCTTTGAGCACAGCCCGCCCTCCACTCCTCTCAGCATTCTTTTCGGCATCATTTTGACGCGCTATGGGCGGTTTGGCTGTCACCGTCTTAGCTTGCTGAGGTTTTCGTTGTTGCCCTTGGATGTGTGGGAACTGTGAGACCTGACGCTCTGAAGTTCCGTGGCGAATGATAACGGTGTGTTTGATGTGGTGAGGACGA